ACTTGTTTTGAAGTTTTGCTGTACCAGTAGCATTCTTTTTTGAAAAATTGGATAGCAGACTAATTTGTACGGTAATGTTGTTATTAAAACCAGCGCAATACTCTACAGAGTAGCCGTCATTGATCCAAATTAGCAATGAAAACTGTAGACTGTGAATTAAAATACGATCAATTTTAACTTATTGATCCTTTGAATAATTGTATTCATATAGGATATCATTTTAACACCGAACTAAATATGTGTTTATGTACATTTTGTCGATATAATGTACTTTTCTTTTGGCATTGCACAAGGTCATGCTTTTCTCAGACTGTTTATGAAATCTTTACAATAAATCCGTTGGATGTGCACAGATTGATTCTTTAGTGTGTGAGAACATGATTTGTTTATTAGTTGGCTTTGAAATAGCTTTTAGTAACTACGAGTACTCGTAGGTCGGTACTTTGTGTCTTGTTTTTATGTTTGTTTTGTTCTTCCTATCGATCTGATTAGTCAAGCCTTTTCAGAGTTTGTTCTTATGTTGTGCTGTTACACCATTGTCCCAGGTTAGGGTGGTCGTCTCGTTCACAAACATGTCTAACCCCGCCACATTATGTATGTGCGTGTCCCTAGATAGGAATCTGTTATTCGGTGGTTTCGTTGGTTGTTGTATGTAATATCTGTTTTTTGTTTTTTGTTTATTATTTTATCATAAATCAGAGAGTTGGTGTATTCGTTTCAATTGTTTCACATTTTGTCATATCGGGGACTTTTATAGCTGACTATACGGTATGGGGTTTTCTCATTGTTGAAGGCCTAATGTGACATATAATTGCTTAAATGCACGATATTTGGACTCCATTAGATAGTTGTATCATTGTCAATCATACCACATCTACTTATATTATACTTAAATAGGAACCACATTGATATATTAGGAAAATATATCAGTCCTGCTTTGTTGATACGTTAGAAAACAAGCACGAAATTGTATTTTCTGATTAATAAACACATTTTCAGTGCATTTGACAACTGATGCAATAATGTATCTCGACATAGGGTCACGAGGTTGAAAATAATTCTATAATAAAATATAAATAAAACTATTGTGTACTGGATCACTTTTACCACTTGTAACTCTAGAATTCAGTTTCGAGTACCAAATAATTTTGAATATTAAGATGGACACATAAAACAGGCACAATGTTATTTATATGACACAGAAATTGTAGTGCATATATACAAAGGTTATGTGTTTTCCGTAAGGATCATTCATGTCCAGTGTACAAAGTAGTACCGATATTGTTGACATCGCAAAGTAGACAATGTCGACACAATATTATACAACGTTGTCGATATCGTTTCATACTCTTGTCTACATCGTTGACATTGACGATATCGCGAAGTAAACAATGTTGACACAATATTGTACAACATTGTCAATATCGTTTCATACTCTTGTCTACATCGTTGACATTGACGATATCGCGAAGTAGACAATATCGACACGATGTTGTACAACGTTGTCTATATCGTTTCATACTCCTTTCTATTTCGTTGACATTGACGATATCGCGAGGTAGACAATGTTGACACGATATTGTACAACGTTGTCGATATCGTTTCATACTTTTGTCTACATCGTTGACATTGACGATATCGCGAAGTAGACAATGTCAACACGATAGTGTACAACGTTGTCGATATCGTTTCATACTCTTGTCTACATTGTTGACATTGTCGATATCGCTAACACATTACTCGTGTTTACATTGTTAATTTTGAATACAACGATGTCGACATAGTGTTGTACTACTTTGTGGATATCCTTTCATCATTTTGTTTCTGCATGGCTGGCATTGCCGACAACGTAATCTTTAATGTCAACATTGCAAAGATAATGATGAGGAAGAGGAGGAGGAGGAGGAGGAGGAGAATGAGGGGGAGGATAGATATTTGCAAACATTAAAAAAACTGTCCAAATAAGTTATACTAATAAGAACATCGACACAGGCGTAATATAAATACATTATTTGAAATTGAAATTGATAAACTTCTTGTCTCTACATGGTTGGCATTGCCGACATCGTAGACGATGTCGTCACGATGTTGTCAACATTACGATGTGGGCGGTGTCAACGATGTAGACAGGAAAAGGGGACGATGTAGACGATGTCGTCACGATGTTGTCAACATCACGATGTCGGCGATGTCAACGATGTAGACAGGAAAGGGAAACGATGTAGACGATGTCGTCACGATGTTGTCAACATCACGATATCGATGATGTCAGCGATGTAGACAGCAAGAAAAACGATGTAGACGATGTCGTCACGATGTTGTCAACATTACGATGTCGGCGATGTCAACGATGTAGATAGAAAAGGGGGACGATATAAATGATGTCGTCACGATGTTGTCAACATCACGATGTCGGCGATGTCAACGATGTAGACAGAAAAGGGGACTTTGTAGACAATTTTGCGAGCAGATATAAAATCATGAACGAAGTTGACAATATCGGCGATATCGTCACTTCATCGTGCACTGGACATACCTCGTAAGGATGTGACTTTCTTTTTGAGTTTACCGGTATATCATTTCTTACAAATCAGTCAGTCAACCGAAAGCAACCAATAATCAATCAATCAATCTTACGACTGGGATTTTTTTTCAAATATATAACCATTTCTCAGTTAGGTCTGTTACCTTCAATGAGTTTTAAAATGGTCGATCAGATGATCTGTGATTTTTTTAATGTACCCTCATTACTAAGTCACATTAATGTACTAATGGAAATCGGTTGATAATAATAAGCCATATATCTTTCCGAGTAAATGGATAAACTTATTAGAGTTACCCCTCTTGACATTAAGTTCAAGAATAAATACTGCATTGGTAGTAATATTACATTTATTGCTGTGAAATCTTTGATATCATCCACTACAATTAAGTAGGTTACAAAGACTTAAAAATATACACAATCTAAATCTTTTAGCAATTACAAAATTTATAAATAATCTTGGTTAAGAAATATTTACGCTAAAGAGTAATGCAGTACCATTACCTTTCTGCGCATTTTTTTTTATTACATTTGCACGCATTCATTTGTACAGGTAATATTAGTTATCTTGGTGTAATCAGGGGTGTACGGAATTTTACACCGTTGTTGAAAATTCATACACCCTGAGGCGCAGCCGAATGGGTGTATGAATTTTCAACAACGGTGTAAAATTCCGTACACCCCTGATTACACCAAGATAACGAATTTATTTCTCATGAACAATTCCTTTACTCATTTTTAAACCAGGATGTAAAATTGAAAAATGGTAATGAAGAATTTCCAGTGCAACATTTTTTAAACGTCGATGTTGCTCGCATTGTCAAATACTTTTTTTCTTTATTTTTGGGAAATTCAGAAAAATTTTGTGTTCTTTTGAATTTTTGGGAAAAAAAAATTTTTTAAATATTTTTTTTAATTTTTTCAATTTTTGTCCTCAAATTTATTTATTTTTTATTTTTTATTTTTTTATACATTTAATTTTTTTTTACATTTTATTCTTTTTTTTTTTTTTTTATATTCAATTTTTTTTTCTTTATTTTGGCAAAATTTAATTTTTTAAAAAATTTTGGCAAAATTTTATTCATCCCGGGGTGAACAAGGGTGGGGTGTTATTTACACCGGGGTAATTAACCAATCAGATTGCAGTATTTTTTGCTGCATAAGAAATAAATATATACATGTATCCCCAAATGCGCGCAAATGTAATGCGCCTAACACCAACACGGCAGTTCTCTTTGTTCGTCTTATTAAAATGACTTTGATTTTAATATTCTAAAAAGTTTTATTCATTCAATGGTCTCCAAAACCTTTGGTCATGTGCGTACCTTAATAAAAATCATAATTACAGAAACATATGATCGTGCGCACGTAAATCGTTTACATATGTTTATTCATTTGATTTTTTTTCTTTGTTTGTACATGTATAATATCCATAATTACACCTTATGTAAGAATCCTGGGTTTTGATTAGTTGATAGCCAGTGTATTTTTCACTAATTTACTCATATCAAATGAATATCGTTCATTTTTTAACGCCGCCGGGGTATATGCAAAAAGGATATGCCTTTTTTACCCTCTCTGCCATGGTATTTGCCAAAAAATACTCTATCCGACTGGACGCTTGTAACGTCACGATCATCAATGCGTTTTTGAACGTTAACATTCGGTGTAATTAAACAGATATAGCATGTTCTTGAGGGGTATTTGCGAAAAATACCAGTCTTGAGAATGAATTTCTCTCGACTGGTATTTTCCGCAAATACCCCTCCTTAACATGATATATCTGTTCAAAATGGATTTACGAGTTTTGAACACCGACAACAGTTGCTTCTTGTCTATATTTGGTTCGAATCATATTTTGTGATGTTGTTTGGAATAAACGGTTTTTACTCATGATTGATTGATACACTGGACCAAACTTGCTAAAATGACCTCCAGTTTGTTTTAAGGTTCAGACTAATTTAGATATGTGTGACCTAATATAGTTTGTCCGCGAGCCATTACCTTCTTGGATAATGTCAGTCACGTTCGGTTTACGTTTGAATCCTTTTTATATTAAATCTACCAAACGCCATATATTTCGTTTCGTTTCGTTTCGTTTCGTTTTGTTTCGGTTCGTTTCGTTTCGTTTCGTTTCGTTTCGTCATTTCATTTTTCGTTTGGTTTTCTTTTATTTGATCATCGTTTCGTTTCGTTTCGTTCATTGCGTTTCGATTTTGTTTCTCATTTCAGCACAATCCGCCAAATGGTCCACTCAATCACCTATTAATATATGTAAGAAGAAGAAGTGCAAATGGCTGATTTGTGCTATTCTCACCACTATGGTATATGAGTATAGCTTAACATTAAAAAAAAATATATTGCAACGTTGATGATCAATTGAATTCTGACATGAGCGTTTTAAAAGTTCAAGAGTAAAAGCAGAAACAGCAAACGCGATTGTATTGAAGTAAAGGGATTCAAATGTCAAGCTTTTATTCAAAAGTTTTAATATATAATAACGCGACCTTGCAAGTGACATATGTATTTCTCTAACAAACATACATATTACATAATTACAAGATTTACACAGAATTAAAATTAAATGAAAAATTACATGACCCATGAATAAAAAAGTCACAATTCATTGTAAATCATTGAAATGAAAACATTAACACGAATTTACTTATACACTGTATAATAACTGGTTAGCAAAAAAAGTAAGCACTTTGTTTACCGAAGAAAGAAATATAACGCACAACCAATGCCACCAAGAAAAATAATGGTAACTATAGCAAAACCTATTTTTCCACATTTACCGCTACAATACCATACCGGTATGCAACAATGTTCACATTTTTCGTAACAGTTAAGACAACGCTGACAATGACACAAATCAAACATCATCCCACCAATTATTGTCAGCAGATAGCGGAAAGAGAAACCAACAAAAAATACAACTAAAAAATATACCAGTGCTGGACGATTCAAATTTAAGAAACCGAAATAGCCACATAAAATAGATAAAAGGATTGAACCATATCCGCCCAACACGTGCAAGAAAACGATACGGCAAAATTCTTTTGCACACAGAATCTTTCTGCGTTTTGGAAGTAAACTGTAATAAACATAATAATAAAGAAAAATTGTTTCTATAGCAACCGATACTACTAAAGAAGCTCCACACGTTTTAAAAACAGCATCCTCCGCGAGCTGTCCCGCCAAGTCACAGACAAACTTATTATACAAGTACTGTTTTGTTCCATTTAGATGCTGCTTGCTGGTTTGTTCCGCAATTCTGGATCTTGACTCCGCTACCTTGATTCTTGCCTCTGCTTCATTAATTATATTTGCTCCTATCTTATTTCCACATTTAGGAACATGTTCTAGCGTTCCGACACTATAACTGACAATCGCAGCAACAATAATCGTGACGTAAGCACGCCGAACTAATGAACCGGCAATGGCGCCTAATGATGAGACTAATAATGCCGCTCTTAGTCCCACTTCCCTCAAATCGATCAAAAAATTGAAACAATCTGCACGACATCTGTTCTCATCCACCTGTTTACACGAACTTTTACCGGTGAGGATATACTTGACAACATGTTCACAATTATTCCAGGAAAGTTGATAATCTCGTTCTCCAAGTCGTTCGTAAAGGCGTTTCCATGCCTTGCTAATTTCGTCCTCATTCTTTGGATATTCAGGGTGTTTTACTAAATATAATCCTGGTGTTTCTATTGTGCCATATCCTAAAAGATTATGATCCTTTGAAATTGTCTGACATGTGAATTTGCCGGATCCTTGGCTGTTTTCAGTTAAAATTTCTGCAGAACTTGTAAAATGGGCAACTGTGAAATCATCTGTCCTATCACTGTTAACGTTATTGGAGATCCTTATTACAATAAAGTGATGATAATATTCTCCAGTGCAAAACTTTCCGTTTCGTCTTACTTTGAAGTGTGCAAAAGGTGTTGCTTTATTTTTAAAATCATTGTAATCTTTCACATGGGATTCGTCCTGAAAAAAGAGAAACTAAATGTGAAAAATGCAAAACAGACGCCACTTGCATGCACATCTTAAAAAAATAGTACAATGTTGGCAACTTAACTTCCCTAACTGTTTATCGATGATCTGCCCCTGAAATATTCAATAGTATTGTCTAACAACAAGAATTCAGTGTAATTTAGAAACCAAAATTGGTATAAATAATTTCTCCAGGGCCCTTATACGCAGGGAACTCTTTTTGGGTCTTCATTTTACAACAATTGGACAGGGCTGTCCCTGACCTTGACTTTCCAACCAGGTCTGGGTAAACACATGCTCTTTAATATTGATGAGAAAAAACCTATTTCAGGACACTTTATCTAGAAAACACGATTCTTATGAAATTTCAATCTATATACATTTATATACATTTTTAGGAAGCAAATAATTCAATGAATTCCAAAAACGCAGTTATGGTAAGAATCACGAAAAAAAGCCTGATTTATGACAAAACAAACAAACAACAAGTACAACAGACAACCGAAGACAACAACTGAATGACCTTTAACGGTCAACGTGCCAGTAATCAACTCATACCTACATCTTTTTTGTTACATGAAGCTTTTTTATTGCCTTCTTTTTCTGCTTCTTGTGATCCTATAGTTTCGTCACTATCTTTCTTTTCTTCTTTTCCTAAAGATGTACTTTGAACTTCCCCTTTTTCAGTATTTTGCTGCTGTTCAGCCTTCCATTATGAAAAAATAATAATAGAATCTGATTTATTCAGCTGATTTAGGACAGCAATACAATGACTTAATGAGGTAGAATCTAACATTATTCAGCTGACTTAGTACAGCAATGCAATGACTAAATAAGGTGGAATCTAACATTATTCAGCTGACTTAGTACAGCAATGCAATGACTTAATGAGGTAGAATCTAACATTATTCAGCTGACTTAGTACAGCAATGCAATGACTTAATGAGGTAGATTCTAACATTATTCAGCTGACTTAGTACAGCAATGCAATAACTTAATGAGGTAGAATCTAATATTATTCAGCTGACTTAGTACAGCAATGCAATGACTTAATGAGGTAGAATCTAACATTATTCAGCTGATTTAGTACAGTAATGCAATGACTTAATGAGGTAGAATCTAACATTATTCAGCTGACTTAGTACAGCAATGCAATGACTTAATGAGGCTGAATCTAACATTATTCAGCTGACTTAGTACAGCAATGCAATGACTTAATGAGATAGAATCTAACATTATTCAGCTGACTTAGTACAGCAATGCAATGACTTAATGAGGTAGAATCTAACATTATTCAGCTGATTTAGTACAGTAATGCAATGACTTAATGAGGTAGAATCTAACATTATTCAGCTGACTTAGTACAGCAATGCAATGACTTAATGAGGCTGAATCTAACATTATTCAGCTGACTTAGTACAGCAATGCAATGACTTAATGAGATAGAATCTAACATTATTCAGCTGACTTAGTACAGCAATGCAATGACTTAATGAGGTAGAATCTAACATTATTCATCTGACTTAGTACAGCAATGCAATGACTTAATGAGGAAGAATCTAACATTATTCTTCCTTGCAGTCAAAAGAGGAGCCATTAGCTGCTTAAAATCTAAAATATGACAACAATTTCTAATATGAACATGACATTAAACGTAAATACGGTACTTTGCAAACCTGGGAAAGACAATGTTAGGTGCAAATAATAATTCTATAGTAAAGCTAACTTAAAAATAACTTCTATCTATATTTAGGGAAGAATATATTTCGTATAATAAATTTTGCAACCGTGAGTATTAAGGTAAATGAGATAGGTCAAACCGCATATCTCACCTTACAATTTTTTTTTATCCAATAGCAAAAAAATTAAAGTGACAGTCAAAATAATAAGTCTAAGAAGGATAATCAAAACGAAAAATGGAAACACTATCAGCGATCCACAGTAACAGATTGATAAAACGGGAAACATTACAAAATTTATAAACCATCGATACAGTTCTAATTCACGGAGGAATATAATACATGTAGTCGGAAATGGAAACAGTTTTCAGAACAGAGAATAAACAAGACCATTACATACAGCACACACACAATGAAACATTACTTATTTTTACTAGTATATACAACAGAAAAAAAAAAAAAGTATGAAATCGAGTACTCCAGGGGATAAGCAGGTCCTGCTTGTAACTACTATCATTCGTAATGTTTATTTTGACAAGTGGTAGGCGCATTCTTTGATAGTCATATAGGGGTCTCGGTGGTCGAGTGGTCTAAGTAGTCGAACTACTGTATCACTAGCCTGTCAACACTGAGGTTGTGAGTTCGAATCCCACACGTAGCAGGTGCACGCGACTCCTATCTTAATTGGCTAGGATTGTCAGTTTTCCTACCGAAGGTCGGTGGTTCTCTCCGGGCACTCCGGCTTCCTCCCCCAATAAAAACTGACCGCCACGAAATAACAAAATAGTGCTGAAAGTGGCGTTAAACACAAATCAATCAATCAATCTGATAGTCATAAGCATGGAAACGGTAGATAGGATTATGGGACATAGCCGTTGTCATCTGTGACACATATTTTTGTATCAGTCAACCAAGTCATGACAGCTACCACATAGAACCTTTGGTTCAATAATCTTCTATAAAAATCACAATGCATGTATATGAATCACAAACTCCAGTATATCTTATTGAAAAAAACTCATCAAAGATACCAGGCTTAATATTTTGTACGCCAGACGCGCGTTTCGTCTACAAAACATTCATCAGTGACGCTCGAATCAAAAATGTTGAAAACCAAATAAAGTCCGAAGTTGAAGAGCATTGACGGCCAAAAAATTCCGAAAGCTGAAACTGTGAGATATATACTCCATGCGCAGGTGCCTCTGAAATGTTGATATATAAATAAAGGATGGTCGAAATTGTAGGTCTTGTACAAAATAATGTCTTCCTACACTGTTTACTATGTTTCTGTATAAAATCATCTATTTAATTACGGCAACCGATATACAATATAGCTATTTCTAAAAACCAGGCGGGTCCATTATAATGGTAATATATGGTAATCGCTTACAGTTTAACTTATAGGTAAACTGAATAAACTGCTTCGCTGAGCGCAGCTGGATACGCCCGCATAGGTCCAACCCTGAACAGTTGGGGCAAAAATGGACACAATATTCAAGCTTGGTACAGGTCTGAATTTGGATTGTAATTAAATATTTGACATATTATAGGTTTCTGAATAAATGTAGTCAAAGAACTTGAAATTGGTTATATGAATTGAATTCATATTCAATTATAGATTTCTTGCTGTTGTGCAATACACTGTGCTGTTGTGCAATACTTAGTAAATCTGTTGTCAGACTATAGACAAACAATAACTACTCAATGTTATATCAGAAATTTATAAAAAAAATTAAAGGGGGGTTATCTTAATAGATATAAATCAGTCATCAAAGTTTAATGAAAACTGCTCGAAGCACTTTAAGGATATTGTCCAAAAACTTGAAAATCAACCCTTTTTTATGAATAAAATCTTATAACTCGGAAACGTAAAATCTTAAACTTATAAAAATAAAAAAGGAGCTTACAACAATAGATATAAACAATTTACCAAAGTTTCATAAAAAATGCTGAAAGCATTTTTGAGTTATTGTCCGAAAACTGGAAAATCCCCCTTTTTGTAATAAATAAAACCCCATAAATCAGAAACGTATGGTCTTAAATTTAAAAAAATCAAAAGGGAGCTCATGTCGATAGAAATAAACAATTCACCAAAGTTTCTTGCAAATTGGTGAAAATGTTTTCGAGTTATTGTCCAAAAACTGGAAAGTTTATCTATTTTGTATTTACATTGTATCATAGGTTAAATTTATTTGTTCAGTGTATGTTCAATGGTGTTAATATGTCCTTTGATTGAGTTAAGCTATTTCAGTTGATATTTTATAGTGTGTCTTTCTATGTTGTGATGTTACACTATTGTTTCAGAAAAAGGGTGAAGGTTTGGTACCATTAAAACGTTTAAACCCGCTGCATTTGTTTGCACCTGTCCTAAGTCAGGAATCTGATGTTCAGTAGTTGTCGTTTGTTGATGTGGTTCATAAGTGTTTCTCGTTTCTCGTTTTTTATATAGATTAGACCGTTGGTTTTCCCGTTTGAATGGTTTTACACTAGTAATTTTTGGGGCCCTTTATAGCTTACTGTTCGGTGTGAGCAAAGGCTCCGTGTTGAAGACCGTACTGTGACCTATAATGGTTTACTTTTATAAATTTTCACTTGGATGGAGAGTTGTCTCATTGGCACTCATACCACATCTTCTTATATCTATGTAAACAATTCACCAAAGTTTCATAAAAAATCCTGAAAGCATTTTTGAGTTATTGTCCGAAAACTGGAAAATCCCCCTTTTTGTAAAGAATAAAACCCCATAAATCGGAAAAGTATGGTCTAAAATTTATAAAAATCAAAAGGGAGCTCATGTCGTTAGAAATAAACAATTCATCAAAGTTTCTTGCAAATTGGTGCAATTGTTTTCGAGTTATTGTCCACAAACTGGAAAATCTCCCCTTTTTTAATGAATAAAACCCCAAAACTCGAAAACAGTAAATCCAAAATTTATAAAAAACGAAAGGGAGCTCACGTCAATAGATATAAATAATTCACCAAAGTTTTATGCATATTGGTTAAAGCGTTTTAGAGTTAATGTCCGACATGTTGACGACGGACGGACAGACGGACAGACGGACGGACGGACAGACGAACGGACAGACGGTCAACGGTATACCTTAATACGTCCCGTAAACGGGCGTATAAAAATATGAAATTGATATTTGAAAATTTCTTTAATCTTCTGACATATTTGTTTTTAAATTTGGTATAGATTTTATTGTTATTTCAAAACATTATATATATATATTTGACCAGACAAATATGCAAATCTTTATTTGTGTTTGTGTTACATTCCAAAAACTGCGATAACATTACTTGGATTTTTGCCACCTTGCCTCTCTCCCTGTCTAACTTTTCTAAACAAATGTACTTAAGTTTAGGAAGGCATTATGTCTTATCGACAGGTTATGTACAGGTTAAGTACTATGAGCTTGCTTTCAGTTCCTGCGAGCTTGGTGGAGAAGTACCTAATACCAACTTTTGAAATCTCGGTTTTGACCCAGTCGTTGATCAACCGACGACATCCATCACCAAGTTGAGATCGACAGTAATGAAATGTAATGATAAATATGTAACTTCACTGCGTTATTATAATGTAAATATTGTGTATTTCCTTGTCACTATTACTACTATTAAAACTATAACTTTATATTTAGATATATACAATATTAAGTCAATGTCAGAAAAATATAAACTTGTTTGTATGAGACTGAGAAACTGGGGACAGGCGAGGTTTTACCGAGCCCTTCAACAGTTTTATGCCAAATACAAAAAAGATTATATTTTTCTGATATTGACCTAGTATTGATTTATACTGCAACTTAAATTAACACATTGATAGCTATTTAAACTGTAACACACATTTCAAACTTATTTTCATCCCTAAATACTATTACATTACATGTATGTTTCATTATAATACGTTATTTTGATTTTGTTATTTGGAGAATGAGGTGACAGCTCATTGATTGCTTGTTTAATTTATCTATTTCATAGACTCGAGACGGCCTTGACACCAGCAGACAACCTGCAGTTCTGATTTTATAATATTATTAAAGATAATACTGTTTAATTTGTTTATACATTTTATAGACTCTAAACGACCTTGAGGTCAACAGGCAACCTGCATTTCTTATTTCATAATAAGATAAGATAGTTTAATTTATAACTTTTATAGACTCTAGATGACCTTGACATCAGAAGATGCATTTCCTATTTTCTAATACGATAATACCGTTTAATTTAATCTTAAGTATACTTTATAACACGAGGACGTATGTCCGAGTTGTTATATCATATTTACAATAAAGTCCATAAATTCAAATACATTATTCAGTATCTTATTTATGATAAACTAGAAACAATTATTCTATTGATAGCCATGATCATTTCTATGATAGAGCAAGGTATCAAATGTCATTGTACTGTAAATATAAATATATATAAAGCTTTTTTGGTAAGAGTACTCCAATATCGGTGCTTTGTGTCTGTTGTTCTAATGTAAGTTTTTTTCTTGCTTCGTGGCATTCTGATGATGAGTTAAGCCATTTCAAACTGGTTTTTACAGGTTGTTCTTATATTGTGCTGTTTCACCACTGCAGGAGAGAGTTGCTCGCTCACAAACTTTTTTTAACCCAGCAACATTCTTTATGTGCCTGTCCGAAGTAAGGAGCCTGTAAGTCAGGGGTTGTCGTTTATGCCTGTCATATTTGTTTTTCGTAAATTGAATTGTTATAAATAAGGCCGTTAGTTTTCTCGTTTGAATTGTTTTACATTTTGCCATGTCGGGGCCCTATTATAGCTGATTATACGGTATGGGGTTTTCTCATTATTGAAGGTTGTACGCTGAACTAAAATTGCTTACATCCACATCATTTGAATACTCTGCATGTTGATAGTTGTCTCATTGGCAATCATACCACATCTCCTTATTTTAAATGTAAATGAAACAAGGGGAGGTGGAAGAAGTGCATGCTGGAATTATGAAATGTTGTCAAAGTTCTTTAGCGTTCCGTTAACCATGAATATACCTCTATCATTATGTCTATTACTGAATTTAAAAGAAATTATGTATAGTTACACTGATTATAAACATAAACTTTAGTGAGGCATGGGTGATTTTTAGTAATAACAAGCATTCTGTGAGTATTGCATGGCAATACATAGTCCCCTAGCGGTTACAAATTCATTGTAATTGAACGAAATTCTAACTTGATCTATAACTTGTCATGGTGTAAACTACATAAAAATATCAAGTCAAAATCTTTAAGCATGACGAAAAAAACTGTTGAAAACTGATTATTTAGGTGAATTTTCTATGTCCAAAGACCATAACTCTTAACAAAATTATCAGACTGGAACAAAATTCCAACTTGATCTGTAACTTGTCATGATAAAACTAAATACTAATTATCAAATCAATATCTTCAAGAATGACAAACAAACCTACCATGAAATTCTTCTAACAAATTACTAAAGAAAAGGAAAAAATTCCAAAATGTCATTTTGTCTTTTAAAAGTCTTTTAAAAAATGAGTTATTTCCCTTTGAACAGAAATCTACTAATTAATAAGTATTTCATCAAAAATTTAATTCTAGGGAAAGGGCTTTAACTGAACAAAGAGAAAAGCTAAAATCTTGAAAATTGAACTTGACCTGTAACTTGTCATGATAAATCAATAAACCAAATATCAAATCAATATCTTCAAGCACGAAGAAAAAAAGTCTGGAAAACTGATTTGCCGGACTGACAGATGGACAGACAGACGGACGGACAGACAGACAGACGGACGGAGTGCAAACCTTAAGTCCCCTTCGACTTCGTCGGTAGAGGACTAATTCTGGATTTAGGTGAGGTCAATAGTTTATCAAAAGAAAAGAATGGAAATAGAATATTTCATCGAAATAAAAGAATTGCTTACATATATAATAATATCATTGCAAGAATGTATAGTAAGTATAGGCTGGAATATCAGTAGAGATGTTTGGACATGACTATATTTAAAATTGTAAAACTACAGTGGACTAGTTCATTCTACTTATAAGCACACAAGGACAAGTACGCGTATATAGTGTTTTGTGTGTTATATTCATGTGTAATTATCAGTTACTAAAGTACCTTCGGATATATAAATATAAGCACCATTTATAAGTCATGAGAAATAAACAATAAAGTTTGAAAGATTCACCTTAAGAACACTTAGTATGAACAAATAAATATATTATATAACTACATACCGCTTGGCTTATATTCGTAAACCCCAAGTTGATATCCGCCATGTTTTAACAAGAAAGAAATTTGATACTATAAACTTACATTGACAATTTAAGTGGACCGTTGTAAGAATTTCGCAGATGTTGCAGATCTTTATTGTGAAACACTACAATTGATTGTTTTATATGTAAATCAATCCAAGATACAAAATCGCAAATGAATTTGTTTACTTTTTTCCCGCCTCCTACCTCGAGCCTCCTACTTGTGTTAAATACATAATTATTATCTATCACATATTGAATTTCTTTATGAGAATCAAGCTAACCCGCATTAGCGTACTGCTTGGGTTTTAAATTTTTGATCTTTATCACATTGAAATTATGTTCTATTGCTTTTATTCTGTCCTTTTGATCGTCGATTTTTATAATAATTTTTGTGTGAAATCAGTCATTATAGAGTAGGTTCTTGAAGGGTTTAAATTTAATTTTTTTGAACAGACAAAAATACTACAAATTTCAAATGGAAAAAATGTGATTTTACTATTAAAACTAGATGAATTCTAATTGGCAAAATCGCATTATAAAATTACGAAGTTATGAACCCTTAACTGTGCACTATTTGTCAGTGTCAATTCCTAGATGAAAGTACATATATGGAGCAGACTTAACTTCATCTGTGGTATCCATTTTGGAAAGATTCATTGAACGTATTCACTAAGCTTTGAATTATTTAGTCAGAAGACATATCTATAAAGCGGAAAGTGAAGCTAAAGGAAAATACTACCTTTTTTAAATTCTTCATGAGAAGGTCCTGTATGAAGTCTGTCTAATTGATTGATTGATTGGTGCTTAGCGCTACTTTCAGCACTATTGCGCTATTTCGTGGCGGTCAGTTTTTATTGGTGGAGGAAGCTGCAGTGCCCGGAGAGAACCACCGACATCCGGTAGGAATCCTTGTCAATTAAGATTAGAGACGAACGCACATGCCACATGCCGGATTCGAACTCACAACTTCAATGTTGACAGGCTAGTGATACAGCAGTTGGACTGCTTAGACCGCTCGGTCCCCACGTATGCCTAATTAGTCCAGTAATGATGCAATTGTACGTAATGATGGCAGTCATAGTTAAGTTATAGGTCATCAACTATCATGCATTAAGAGGATCATACAGCATCGTTTCCCTATGGTTGCTATCTATTCTACCATTAAGACATTATCTTGGATTTTTTTCTCTGGATTTTGTCCGTGTGTTCTATTTTTAGTATTGCTTTCAATGTTGTTTGGGCGACAAAAATATCTGGCTTAATTTCCTAAGAATGATTTAATCAATGTTTGTTTTCAATTGATTAAGTGTTGATGGTCATCTAATTGTCCTAGCTTAGGATTAAGGGCGTATTGTTTAAATTAACGAGTACTTAGCTAGGATTTTACCTGTTTGTAATTTATTTCTCTTTGTCTTTGCAAATGTCTGGCTCTGGTATTGTTTTCTGTATATTTTCTTTTCAGTCCAGATTTGGCAAATCTCTTTTACAAGCAATGGAACATTTCGTCATTTATAGTCATTTGTATTATGTTTTATAAACATCGCTCATGTAAATATATTTACAAGTATGCCATGCTTTTGTAACCATAACATTTCATTTAAAATATTCCCACACTGGCCATAATGCAATCAAAATAGATGTTTTGCTTGATTTTTTAAACCATCTCAATAAAGACTTGAACATTTGGAAATTTTTAATACTTTCTAAGAAAGTTTTACTAAAAATTACAACTTTATATAAAACTCACCAATATTCTAAATAAAACAAGGAAAAAAGAAAAACACCTTTGGTATAGCCATGTGAAGTCAAAAATAGTTTCAGAGATAACCACACTGGATACTGGTCATTGATTTGATATAATTGAACAATAAACTGTCCTTCACAATTTTTTTACTCGAAGATTCGTCATAATTATTTCGTTAGATGTCTTGAAGTTTCATTACTTTTACAATTGAAGAGATTTTTTACCTCGTCCTGAAATAACTTGTCGTAAAAACCATAAATGAAAGGATTAATTATATGATTCAGTATAGCCATTTCTCTTATTAACGAAACAAACGTTGTGTCTACTTCATATGTGTCAAATAAATATTTGCCATCCCTTATTTCCAAGAAAAGAATTACAAACTGTGGAATAACAGATAGTCCGAATCCTATGGCAATTGCCATCAACATGTATGAAAATTTGTGTGAACATTTAAGGCAAAACAATGACCCATTAGTACCGTTGTCCTGGGCATGTTGGTTTGCGCAAATTTGAAATTGTTGCCTCATCTTTAATTGATTATATATAGTTCTTCCGATAAATCCATAAAATACTATAAGACCTATCAATATAATTAAGGCCATTAATGATGCGAAACTAATGAAAACATAGAATTCTACTCCCATAGAATCTTCGATTAAAATGTCACAAGTACTTCCGGTGATATTTTGATGAAAATTTGAAACGGAGATCTCCGAATTATAAAAGTTCAGTGGGATCGCTGCTACTATCGATAAGACCATTGTAAAAAGAAGGGCTGCTCTCTTACAGCGTAATGTCATCTGTTTTCCGAACGGTCGACATACCTTTAAATATCGATGAAATGCAATGACGAGTAACATAATCATCGACCAGAATGAAAATATGTTGATTATCATCCAAATTGTTTTACAATACCCTGTCCCTTTCAACATGACTGGAAATGATTTTTTGGTGAGTTCGAAACAAGATCTCATAGTTCCTGCGAAGAAATCGAGCATGGCGAGCCAAGGAATGAAATACCTGTCCTCTTTATTTGTATTTAACCTAAATTTATAAACAATGATAACCAACAGATTACCAGTAAATCCAACAATAATGTAGATAATCAGAAATAATTTGTTTACAATAAATAATTTAGACACTTTTGAATTCCATTCGTCTACACTAGCCATTTTCCTTCTGGTATACTTTCAGCGCAACAGTGCTACAGTTATGCCCTAGATGCAATATCGTTTTAGATCTAACGTCCTTGCTTACTGCTCACTGCCACATCTATTTCTGTTGTCTTAATTCAATATAGTTTTACAATAAAGCAGACGATACTTTATCATATTAGTCTTTCTGTAGAATTTCAAAAGGCATGTATAATTCACTGCAAATAATGTTTGAATTTTTACAGCATCATTTAAGTAATGTTGTTTTCCTTTTGTTTAGTATTAAGCCCTGGAGAATGAAAAGCCAATCTGTTTATTTGAAAACATAATTTAGTAGATGATTAGAATTGATGCTTTTAGTTGGGAAATTACATAGTATTGTGCGATGCAATGTATTAATATCTTTGAAAACATTTTAAACAAAAGATAATTGTTTCAACTGATGGAGATATAAATAAAGTTTATGACAGTCTTTAATGTCTTAAAATTTGTTGTTTCTATCTGTCTTGCCTTCCGATTCTAGCGGAACAAAAACAACAAAGATAAATGTTCCTTGGTTATCAAGAAAGCAAATACATAATTGGAACCCTGTTCAGTTGTTTTTTAAGCGTGTTCGTCTCTGGTCATTTCTTCTGTTGAAGTTGTAGTATAAGAACGTACTCGAACTTGCGATCTCAGTATTGAGTATGTACTATCAAAATAAGGAAATGTGGTATGATTTCTATGAGACAACTTTCCAGCACCTTACGAGGATGTAAACAACTACATGTCATCATACGGTCTCCAATAATGAGCCCTGGCATTTTCAAATATGACACAATTCAAAAGAAAAAAAGGCCAAACTTATGCTAAAACAATAAAGGAAAAACAAATATGGCAAGGCAGCAACCAACGACTACTTCTGAATTTCAGGCTCCTGAAGTAAGACCGGCACATAAAGAATGTAGCAGATTTAAACATACTCCCCTAACATTTGACAGGTGTGTAACAGAACGTTTAGTACTTAACAAAGAAATTGTTGTTGGCCGCTTTGTCAACAGGTACAAACACAAAACGCTTCAGAGAGACAATCAGTGTTTAATTGCTTTTATTTCTGGATATCGTTTTAGAAGAAAGATCTTGTATACATTTCTTTAAATGTTTAATAGGATTATAAACGAGAATCGTGTATTTTTTAAAGAATTAATCTAATGATGTTTCAACGCCTTTCTCAGTTTTTTGCACTAATATTTACAGTAAGAAGAAATGGAGTCGATGATGACATCATAACATTCCTTCGACTAAAATTTTATAGGTGAACAATACTTTGGTTCAATTTTTAAAACTGCACATGCAAAAGCTCTCGCTCCGGACAATGTTGAGGTCTCCTATACCAACACAATATCTTAACCTGTGATAACAGTCTCAAGAACTAGGAGCCTTATTTCCAATATAAACGTTCGAAATAATCGAAATATACTAGTACATTGTAATTTAAAATAGATATTTTTGCTGAGCTTTTGTAAGATTAAGAGAAGGAATAACAGCATTTTCAAAATATGGAGACACAAGGTTTTAAAAATTAAATCATTCAATAAACTTATAGTAAAATCTAAAATCAAGTCCTCTTTTGACATATTTAAGTTTTTTACAATGACGTGTATGGTCTTCTAGTTTGTCTTTATAAGAGAATAACTGAATACGATGACACAAAGCTCTTGTAATTAGAGTTTCTTCTTAAAGGGGACTGGCACGGGATATATAACCTGATAAATATGGATTTGATTTTTGGTGTTTTAACGCCACTTTTAAGCACCGCTTTTAGGCTATTTCGTGGCGGCCAGTTTTTATTGGCGGAGGAAGCCGGAGTGCCCGGAGAAAACCACCATGGAATATAATATGTTAATTGGTTTACAGAATTGATAATAGACGCATTCCGTTGGGGTATTTTTTCTTAAATATTAACATAATTTATTGGAATTGACAAAAGAGTGATGATTTCTCTGGTAAATGTGATTGATAAGTATTCCGTGTTATCTCCGATTACGGTTCCTTTTTTTGGAGTACCAGTTTTATGATATCAATAGATGATGTTTTTGATATGTATGTTTTCTTGTCACGTGATGTTTTTGATATGTTTCCTTGTCACATGA